CGAATTCATGAATATTTAATGCCAAATCCTATACTCTATAGGCTCCAAGAGCTCTCTGTCCAGTTCAGGATAGGCATTGTGAATACACACTAATAAATAATTATAAAATAGGTATGTTTAGATACATACACACCTACTCCTTTATCCTTAGTTCGAAAGATTTAAAAAAAAAAAAAAAAACCTCTAAAAACCAAAAATTATCAACAAAACTGGACCCAAACTAATGTGAGGCTGTTTACAGCCTTTGTTATTCTATTTAATGTAATGTCTCTTTTTAATGTAATGTGTCTATTATTTAATGTAATGTGTCTTTCTGGGGAAATCCATATGTAGACTGAGATGACTGCTCCTATCCACAAGTGCTTTCATGATATAAACACCTATGGCATCCTAACTTTCAAAATGGGTTTACTTATGACAAAGATACCACGATGGGCTTAGGATATGTAAACCAGGTCCAGAAGACATAAAAAAGAATTATTTCAAGAAGCAAAGGAGTCAGCTGAGGCAGGTAAAATGTATGCTCAGAATAGCATTCAGGAAAAAAAAAGGTAATCCTGTCTTAGGCCTCACAACACTATCCTTGAAAATATTAAATCAATCCTTTCATGCCACTAATAAACACATCTTTTTCCTACGGCCTTTTTTGTTTTAAGATATCTGAGCCATCAAGCCATATTTACAGTCTATTCCCCAAAGGGCTAAGAAAATTACCATATCAACTTCAGATTTTCACCCAAAAAGTTTGTTTTCATAGCTGGTTCATACAATCTTATTCCAAATAAATGTACACTTTCATTAAGCTCATTCAAATACAGTTAGTCTTGATTACGCAGATATAATCAACCAACCACAATGTAAATTATCCATTAGCAGAACATGGCATCTAACATTGTCATGACAGCACTAGGCATTTTACACACACACCCACACACACATGCACACCTGTAAGGTAGTTACTGTTATTCTGACCATTTTTAAGATGAAAAGTTAAAGCACTATGAGGCCAAGAGGCTAGCAGACATGGCATTGTTATAGATAGTACAGTAATACAGAATTTATGAAAAATATTAAAAACATTATTAAGATAAATGATACATTAGAAGGCTTCTATCACTTGGACATGCAACAAATGTTCCCTTGAGGAGCTGGAGAGATACCTCAGAGGTTAAGAGCACTGGCTGGCTGTTCTTGCAGAGGACCAGGTTTGACTCCTAGCAACCACACATGGAGGCTAGCAACCACACATGGAGGCTAGCAACCACTGAAAACTCGAGTTTCAAAGGATCCAGTGGCCTCTTCTAGCCTCCACTGGCAATGCACACATGTTGTGCACTTACATACACGAAGGCAAAACATTCATACACATAAAATCAAAATAAATTTTAAAAAATGTTCCCTTGAGGGCTGGAGAGATGGCTCAGCAGTTAAGAGCACTGACTGCTCTTGTAGAGGACCCAGGTTCAATTCCCAGCACCCACATGGCGGCTATGAACTGTCCTTAACTCCAGTTCCAGGGGAATCCGAAGCCCTCTTCTGACCTCTGCTGCACTGGACAACACGGGTGCACTCACATACATGTAAGCACTACACTCATACACATAAAATAAAAATAATGAATAAAATATATATTTTTAAATGTTCCCTTGAGTTTAAATCATGACTTGGGTACTCTGATGCAAGATCCAGGAAGCAAGGCAGAGTCAGTATGACCATGCATGCTACATCATCAGGGGAAAAAACATGCAGCGTTTCAATATTAATATTTAAAGAACTAGAATGAAAGAGAAAGTTTGGACAGTTCTAACAGATGATACTCTTTAGCCTATTTTCATCAGCCTTCTAATGTATCATTTTACTTAATAATGGTTTTAATATTTTTCATAAATTCTGTATTACCGTTAATATCTATAACATGCAACTTTACTATTGCACAGGCATTATTTTTAAATGTTTGTATGACATTTATAGACAGATGTAGGTAAATATTTTCTGGAACACATAATGCGTTTTTGAGGAAGCACTTAATCAGAAATTCGTTCTCATAACTCACTTTCTTCTGAAACTCTCCATTCCCACTAAGAGAATTAATGCTACTAAAAGCAGCACACAGGTCTCCATCCAACCACAATCTCTCATTTCTCCAGTTTTAGTCCACAAAGTATATAACATACTGTCAGTCTAGGGATCTATGCACACTGAAAGAACGATCCTAGACAGGTATACAAGCACCACTGCTCAGACTAGTGCAAAGAACAAGACAAAAAGGGAGTTGGAAGGATGATATAAAACATGTATTATTGAACTTAAAATATAATCCTTTATTCATTGGTTGGTCTTCAGTATTCAAATGTGATAATGGCCAATAATTAGTTTTTACTCTTCTTATTGGCCAAATAGAAAGTCAGTAATCTGATCAAGCCCTAAACCTAAACATTAAGAACAAATATAAAAAAAATGCAAAGAAATCTAGTTAATATCTAAAATCTAAACATTAGGATAACAAATACAAGGGAGGAAAAGTCTATCACATGAAATATGCATGAAGGTGGTGGGAGGGCAGACATAAGCAGGACATAAGAGGCTGAAACCTTTGTATGGTCAAAAGGAAAAAGATACCTTTTTACATTTAACACAAGTAAGTTAAGAAATTGACTGGTCCAGCAAACAAGTGCAAACAAATAAAAATACAAGTAGGATATAACTTTACAAAGACATCTTATTCATAAAAGCATAAGCATTGAAGGTTTTCATTTTAGAAGAGGATAAAATGGAAGAAATAAAAAGGTGACAAGCTTTCCTTTTAAAATTAAAGCTCCTAATTCTCAACAATATTAAAGAAAAAGTACTGAAAATATTAATTTACTTTCTAAACAGTAATAATAAAGACAGCTATAGAAGGTTGAGAAGAGTAAAGACTCTTAGGTCAACCAGTCAGAATCCCAGCTCTCTATTAGCTATGTAAATCAGGCATATGATTTACCCTTTCTCTGTTTCAGTTTCCTTAAAAGTTCACAAAAATAAAGAGAGTTAAGCTATGTAAAGTGCTTGGAATATAAAGAAAAAAGGTAAAATAATAACTAAAATGATTATAAAAATTATGAGAATAGAAGTAGCTATTATACTTCCCATAAAGTTTTTTAAAAGTTAACTACTTAGCTTGCACAAGGGCTCTGTGTTCAATTCCCCGCACCATAAAAATAAAAGTTAGTTCAATTCCCTGCACCATTTTTATATGCAAGAAGCATTAAGAAGTTATAAAGGACATGTTAAACAGGTTCATTTACATCATAAAAAGTACATGAGGATCTTGTGTCTTGTACCAGGCCAATTCAGACAAAAACCTAGCATAGAATGAGGGAAATGGGCAGCAAGCCCCAACCCTAGCTTAGGAACTATTGGCAACCGATTACTGTTGGGCAAAGGAGAGTAGATCTTCCTTAAGATCTCTAGATAGGCTGACTAGACTCCAGTGGATGAACTTGCACCAAAGGACATCTCAGTACAAATGCTGGACCAGATAGGACTTAACATAATCGACAGAATGCATGAATTCTGGTTGGGGATTATGGGGAGGTGCATATGGGAGAAGAGGGTCTAAATTTAATTAAGTTCTAGTATACAAAATAAACAAAAACTCAATAAAAGATAATTTTTTTTTCAAAAAATATCAATAAAGAAAATGTTTTAAAAATTAAAAATTTTGTGATTCATTAAAAAAATATTACATGAGAAAAAAAACTGAATCCAGTTAGGGCACCCTTTGTGTGACTCTCGACCATTTACAAAATATGCTTCACATCTCAAGAATGCCCTACCCAACTGAAGCTGCACTTTAGAGAAGAAACAACAGACACAATGCCTCTGCCATGACAAGAATCTTTCATTCGCCATTAGATTCAGAGACTCAAGAGTCCTAGCCTAGTTCTTAATAAAACTCAAGTATCTGGTGATCAAATCCTTCAGGAAGTACACCAAACCTCCATAGGAAAATAACAGGTCAGACGCAGGCACCACACAGCACACAGAACATGGAAACCGCACTTCTATCCCCTTCCCATGGATCCAGACTGGGCTGACTCTTGAGGAAGTCCTTCAGGCAAGCTTTTTCACTTCACCCTGTGATTAGACCTTTCTGCCAGGTTGGACTACTAAACGGAATCCTTGCCAATGCAGAACTTCATTTCTTAGCACAGCTTATCTACATCCTTGGGATCCATTAGTGTCTTGCCCAGAACCACGGGAGAAACGCAGATCAAGCCTGCAACTGGGGTGCTCAACTAGTATGGCATTTTTAGTAAGAGGCCCTAGTGACTGAGGTTGAACCACTTGCTTTCTTAGCAGACAGTTGAAATAGTTGTATTCCTTGACATTCAAATGCGAAGATGTGGTCTAGACAGCAAGACCTAGAACTGGGCCAGCCTTATGACAAAATACTAATGTATAAATGAACTGCTTTGCTAGTGACACTACAAGTATTTGAAGGTTTCCTTTGCAGCCCACACTTATGCAGCAATCACACTAACAATCGGTGGTTTTATTGGGACTGTATTTTGGTGCACTAAGAGAACGAACAAAAGCACTGACAATTCAGCGCAATCCAGCCCAAGCTGGTTAACATGCAACCTGCACGTAAAATTTTCCAGATTTAGTCCCAGTTCAGAGTTCACAAAGGACGCTCTGCAGAAAGTGATGAGACGGGGACCGGGGATCTAAAGGGTGTAAACTTCAAAACCATTCCATTCTCAAAGGCGAAGCTGTTTAGTAACTAGTACTGAAACTCAAACTATTTAGTAACTAGTTACTGAAAACTCAAACTCATTTAGTAATTAGTACTGACCAAACTCTAGGTTGCATTTGGAACAGAATGTCTTGGAAGACTTGTATGTTTCCAGGAAAAATGACAGGGGCGGGGAGGGGGGCACCCTCAACTTTCTGCACAAAGTTTCTCTCAGGCTCGGAGTGGCCTCCAACGTGCACGCTCAAGTGATGAACTGAGGTCACTGCACAGCAAAGGCACGAGAGGGACTCTGGGGTAAGGGGTCAAGGTCCGGGGGCTCCAGGTGCCCGGCTTCCGGCCTAAGGAGGAAACGCGCCGGCCCGGGCGGACGTGAGCAGGGCGGCCCAGGAGGAAGTTGGCTCGGCGCGGGGCGCTGGGCCCAGGGCTCGGCCTTCGGAGGGGCGCAGCCGCGAAGCCCGCCCGCCGTCGCCACCCGCCCGCCACCCCCGTCTGGCCGGTGGCGCGCAGACCAGGGCGGAGCGGGGCCTCGGGTCTCCTCCCGGCCACGCGCTAAGGGAGGCCGGGCGGAGGCGAGCGGGGCTGACTGGAGGGGAGGCGCCGTCACGAGCTCGGCGTGTGCGGTTACCTGTGGCGCGGCAGGGCTCCCCAGCTCTACTCCCTGATTCCTCCTCCCTCCTCTCTCTCTTTCTCTCTCTTTCTCTCTCTCTCTTGCTCCCTCAGCCTGCCGGGCGCTCGCAGAATCAGCCTGGCGGGCCGACCAGCGGGCGAACGGCAAGGGAGGGGGGGAGGGGGCGATGACCGGCGGCCACGTGACCACGCTGGCAACGTCACGTTGGCCGCCTCCCGCCGCAGCGCTCCACCTCTCGGAACCCTGCGGAGAGGCCGTGCGCATGCGCGCAGCGCGGGCGGCCAGGTGTCTAAGGCTGGCAAGGCGCAAGGAGAAAGCTTCAGGTCAGGGGATCCCACCAGCCGGCCCGCAGCTGTGAGCATGCGCGCGGGGCTGTTTTTTGTTTTTTTTGTTTTTTTTGTTTTTCCCCCCTCGGCTCTGGCCCCTGCCTCCTCAAGGTGCGTGGCTGGAGGCTGAAAAAACGCCCTGGGTCTTCACTAAAGGTTCCCAGTGGGCACCGTTTCTCCAGAGTGGGACTTGAGGAGACCCGGCAGCCACTGGGAACCTCCTCAGAACCTGGCACTCCTGCTTGGAACTCGGTCCTCTTGTCCCATGTTGACTTTCACTTCCTCTCCATGTTGGTCTCCAGCTAAGTATGAGCAAACTCATGCCACTCAAATGCACCCAACTCTTGTCTATGAGATCAGCCCAGCTCTTGTCACTATGAAAAGAACCCAACTCTGTTCTGTGGGACTCACGAGCACTTTGTGCAGACGTTGTGATATAACCCATTACGGTATAGAGGTTATTTGCCTGTAAAAAGCACACAGGTTGTATGGATCTCAAAACCTACTGTCTTCAGTCTTTTCTCCCTGGCCTTCAGATGACTGATCAGGCTGACTGCCACACCCAGGTCACTGGCCTGGGCTCCAGCATCACCATGATTTTAAGATTTCCTTTAACCTCCAGCACTGGGATGCTGATGTTGACATGTGTATTAAAGCACTGGAATTGTAATGCTAATGAGAGTGGTAAATGCCTCATCTAGTAAAAGATCTCTTATTAGCCCAGAAAAAAAAAAAAAAAAAAAACCTAGGGAGAGAAAGATCAGACTTTGGAAAGTTAGCTAGCTTCCAAGCAAACTGTGCTGTGCCCACTTCACTCTGGCCTCCCTTATTTTCTAATCCCTTCTTGCTACTGCAGAAAGTAAACGTGTTGAATGGGTTAAGTTAGTGCCCCTGGCTAGATTTAATTGAGCTAATAAATAAAATGTAAGAAGTTCTGGCTAGACTCATTATCATTACGGTTAGACAGATGAATTCTGAGATGTTGGTTGAGAAACAGCATGAGCAACACAATCCTAAGAAATGCGCCCTAAGAAGATGCATCTTATGAAGAAACAGAACAGACCACCCAGTCTTTTTGATGGTGGAAAAGCTATTCATATTTAGTAGAAACTATACTTTGAATATTTATCTTTTCCCAGACTAGCAATACAGCACTCAGCCACATGATCATGAAAGTAAACAGCTGGTATTCTATAGTGTGTACAAAGAACATTTCTCACCCCAGACCTTCACTTTGCTACCAATAATCACCTAGGTACCCAGCTTACCAGGGGGTTAATGAGAGAGACTAGAGAGAAGCATGGGGAAGTGGTAAGAGCAGGAGGTAAATTGGCTAGGCAGTTTAGGGTCAAGACCCCCCCCCAAAAAAAAAGGCCAGTTTTTTTCCTGGCTGAGAGCTGGAAATTCCTTGGATCTGCCAGTAAACTTGTCCCTTGCAGCTAGAGATTCCAGAACTATCTAATCCAAAGATATCTCTGGTTCCACCATAGCCAGAGACTGGGGAGGCCAGTAAGGGAGTCTGGTTTTCCTCTTTTTCCTGAAGTAATACCCTGTTACTGAAAGACCTGCTGAGGATGTGACCTGAACACCTGGAATGAGAACTGGACTGACCAGCTAATCTCCCTCTCCCCTCCTCCCTCCACTAAATCCTTATTAACTCCTGGGGAATGAGACTCAGTGGAATCCATTTCCAGGGACCCCCCTCCTGCTATACAAGACCTCTGCTTTCTCTATCCTAAACTCCCTATAATAATAATTAAAAAAAATACTCCTTTCTAAAACTCACCCTTTGTGGTCTGTGAATTTCATTCTTCAAATTCACAAGACAAAAACCTGAAAGCCTCTGGCTTGAGGTGGCTTTGGTAGCTGTTGAGTTTCTGGGACCCTAGCCTCTCAAGCTAAGCACAACAGAAACAAGAAAGGCTCAATTGCTCTCAAAGACACCCCGATATTCCTGTATCAAAAGCAGCCAGTCATACCTATTACCTCTGTCCTGGAGGCTCACACTAGGAGGTCCACTTGGACTCACAAAAGGCAACTGCAATGGGCACAACAATAACTCCAAGGAGCCAGCTCCTCTCCGGCTTGTCCTGTTCTTTACTCCCTAAGAAACAGCCTAAGGGATCTATCTATAAGACCCCACACAGTTCTCAGAGCACAAGGCTTAGAGTGGTCCCTTAGGTTCTTTCTCCAGCAGTTAAAAAAAAATCTAACCTTGGGAAAAGAAACTAATAGAGCTGATGTTAAACAACTCCATAAAACATAAGCATGGTATTTTAGAGTTATGCTTCTCACAATACAGTTCATGTGTTTAAGGTAGAAGAATTACATTTTCAACCAACATCAACATTCTTAGAAAAATAACACGACATTTGGTTTGTAGGCATTTGTGTGCTACTTGATTCTTTGACATCTATATGCATTCTTTGGGGGACAAAGGTGAAACACACACATACACACACACACACACACAAATACAAATGTCCCCTAGGAAAGGTGGAAGATAAAGGGACAGACAGCCCTTGACAATAACTGACTTTCCCCTAGGCCTCTGCTTTGTGGATGCTGAACCTTGCCTACTCAGGCCAGACTAACACGATAAGAAAATGTACACCTTGAAGTATGGCATTGTCCAAAGGGAAGTGAGAGAATTACAGTAAACATGCCAGTGGAGGACTGGCATCAAGAATCAGCTCCTTTGACTGGCAAGATAGCTCACTGGATGAAGACACTTGCCACCAGGCCTGATGACCTGAGTTGGATCCCAGGGACCCACATACTTGGTGGAAGGCACATCCACCTCCACCAGCAACCTAAAGAATCTGAAGAGAATCATTTTTCTTAAGCTGGATCATGGCCACTTGGCAGAAGGAAAAATGTTTGGCAGATAAACAATATGTGTTCACTACATTCCTTCTGTTAGATAACCAGGACACTTTTCTTCTCATATATAATTGCAAATACTCAGCTAATTTAAAGCATCTCAATATGTACTAATCCTATAACTAAACAGTGACTACTGGTAGTACTTAGCAAGTCGACCATTAATGTTAGGATTTGACTCTGGATTCGTTTTAAACCTCATCCTAATCAAAGAAAACAAAAATGACATCATTCTTTAGAGCGCCTACCAAAAAAATAAAAATAAAAATAAAACTGAAACCAGAAATTGATTTGCGTGTAGTGTCTGCATACCTACGTGTGATAGACTGCTGTCTCCCCTTCCCTTTCAAATTGATTTTTCTCTTCTTCCATTGGAATTGAGTTTTATCTGGGAACACGGCCATCCATCTGGAGGCTGCATTTCCCATTTCCCCTTGTGGCTGGGTGTGGTTATGTGACTCCATTTTCATCCATGGAATGCAAGAAGCAATGTGTTCATTTGCTACATTACTTACTTAAAAGAAATTTTCTCACCCTATGATGCCTCTTCCTCTCTATTCCTGCCATACATTCTATTCCTAAAATATAGACATGGTGATAACACAGCTCTTAGAGTGCACAGCCTAGCCAGAGCATCCAGACAAGACTGCTGGGTCTCCAGATTGCTTTGTGGAAAACTTTCTACCCAACCTGGACCACACCACCAACTTTATTAGAGAGATAAATTAATGTCTTGTTTTTTTAATATTTTATTTATTATTTTATTTACATCTATGAGTGCATTATCTGCATGTAAGTGCACCCATGTTGTGCAAATGCATTTAAGTCATCGACTTTTTAAGCTTTCATTAAAGCCAAATATGTATCCTACCAAATATAGCATATGAGACATTAATTAAGTTGCTATGTGAAGAATCTTGGGAAAAACTATCTAGATCAACTTTTAAAACATAAATAGAAAAGTACACTTGCCCTCATAAGAAATGGAGTTGGTATGTATAAATACATGAAGAATGTTAAATGCCTTAATACTGTAAAGTCCATCTTATATCATTATATTTGTTAATATCACCAGGCAAATGTGCTCAAAGATACTCCCAAAGAAAATGGAGCAGGTCCTGGAGAGAGAACTCAGCAATTAAGAGTACTGGCTGCTCTTCCAGTAGACCTGGATTTGATTCCTAGCACCCACATGGCAGCTAACAACCATCTACAACTCCAGTTCCAGGGGACCCAATACCCTCCTCTGGCCTCTTTGGGCTTTTCACAGCATGGGAGCATTTACATACATGCAGGCAAAACACTTATATACATAAAATAAAATAAAATAATAAAATATAAAATAAAATTATAATAGAGCAGTCAGAAGCTCTATTATATTAAGAGGTAATATAAAATAAACTCAGTAGTAGAATTGACCAATTCAAATCCTGCTCCCTTTGCTTCTTAGTGAAGAAAGTCATTTCAGTTACCTTTGGCGGCTCCAGTTCTGTCTGTGGGGTGGGGATAATGATTGTTCCTAAAGTATTAGAATGTTACTGAACATTAAATGAGATAATCTTCCATATACATTTAGCACATAGTAACCACTGATTAAAAAATAGATATTATTGTTATCTTGGAAACTATCAGAAAAGGCAGTCTGCAGGAAGAAACAAGTTATTCCAAATATACCCTAATGAAAATAGCAAACTTTGGACTTGATTTTGTATATCAAAAAGATAAAGGTTTTTTGCTGTATTGCCAGAATATTGGCTGTGAATATGCCAAAAAACATGGTAGGAAAACCAGTGCCTTTTATCCTGAAAGAAAAAGACATCTCAACACTGTGTCCAATAGATGGAGAAAGAACTTTCAAAATTATCAGTATTGACTTTCAGTCATTCTATGGAAAGACAATGGAGTCCTAATCATAACTAAGCCTCAAAAGTTATTTAAGTCCTTCTTCTCTGTGATAGCCATTATTTCCATTGAACTGATTTCTCTTGATCAGTTATATCAGCAGTTACCATTAAACATGTTTAAGCAGTGGTTTAATAGTATCTTTGTGCCATA